CCCACGGTGGCTTTTTAAAAACATTTCTTGTCCTTGCTTTCCTCCTTTTTCCTGCAGTCTCTAGATCCGAAGGGCTAGCGGAGCAAGGCGCTGCCTTCCTAGCCAGCCCTGGTTGGCTCGCCATCCGCCTGGCTTGTAAAAGTTTGCTGAGCGCAACCCAGAGGGCTGCGCTGCTCGTCCTCTCGGCTGGCGGAAGGGGGTGACGGCGAGGAGCGCGTCGCCGGCTCTGGCGGGCTTTCGGCTAGAGGGGCAAGGTGACGAACGCACGGCCCGGGGTTCGCCGAGCTGGATTTGCATGTTGCACCATGCCTGCCTGGATCGGGGCCGTGATTCTTCCCCTCTCGGGGCTGCTGCTGTCCCTCCCGGCCGGCGCGGATGTGAAGGCTCGGAGCTGCGGCGAAGTCCGCCAGGCGTACGGTGCCAAGGGATTCAGCCTGGCGGACATCCCCTACCAGGAGATCGCAGGTAAGCGCGGCGGGGCGGGCTGCAGCCCCGGCAGCCGCCGTAAGCCGGGCGCCCCGCTTTCCCCTGTTGCCGAGTTGGGGATCACTTTCCGTCAGAGCCGGGGGAGGGGGGTCCCCTGCTCCGGGCGGCGCCTGCTGGAAGGCTTCCCGGGCTCCAGGGAAGGTGTCCGTCCCGCTGCCTCATTGTGTGCCTACGCGGGAGCACCCTCGTCCGCTCCCGCCTCCTTCAGATCTCGGGCCGGGGAGCTCGGGACCCTCGGCAGATCGGCTAGCGGGGCGCCCAGCCGCTGCGCCTCTCGCTCGGGCAAACTTGGGAGAACTGCGACTGCAGTTTGTCCAGCGCCACAATCTGAGTGGCGCCTTCTCTGCTCCCGCCTTCGCGCCGGCGGGGGCGTTGGAGCGACACCGAGGGCTCTCCAGCCGGCTCTCCACTCCCGGTTCTTCCGGGAGACTGAGCGCTCCGCTCCAGGGCGCCGGGCGGGCTCCGACGGGGTGGGGGACATCGCCTGGAGCCCCTGCCGTCCTACGTTCGTGTTGGATGGGGCTGGTTGGGGACTTCAGGGGGTGCCTGCTTCGGATTTGAGGCGGGCTTTCCCGCTACGGTTCCCCAACGCGTCCCCGATCGCTGCCGGTCACTCGTGTTGGGGAGACACCCCAGCCACCGGCGCGGGGCCGGGTCCGGAGCCCGCCGGC